GTTCGATCCCCAGCCAGGGAGCTACCTTTATGGAGCAGCAGACCTCTCCTGACTCGCCCGCTGCTCCCCTCAGGAGTGCATTTCAGTCGATCTGCCTGTTCTGTTCCCTGCTCTGTCTCTGGTGAATCCTCTCACCCCCCACGCCTCTGGCCTGTACCCCACTTCTTGTATGCATAAATAAATAAATCTTTAAAAAAAAATGTTTATCCCTGCCTAGAAGATTTAATAAAAGGGTATTTGGGCACTTGGTGTTTTGTTCTATTTTTATAAAATAAGTTGTTAGATAAGAGTCATTATTAGTATTTTAATCAGTTAAGATAACCAAGTAGAAATTTTGCAAGACCTCTATATAGGATAGGGCTACTGTCTAACTTGTATAACCAGTTAACAAATTACTACCAGGGGAATGTTTACTGTAAAAGCAGACACATTCAAGGAAGTTTATTGTTATACGCTAAATGTTTGTGTATCCTCCCACTCCAACTCATATACTGAAATCCTAATGTCCAGTGTCCCAATGTCCATTAGCAAGTAGGGTCTCTGTCAGATGGCTAGGTCCTTGAAATCAGTGTCCTTATAAAAGAATGCTTAGAGCATTCCATCACTGGTTCCACCAAGTAAGGACAATGAAGCGATAGCTCTGGACAGGGAATCAGGCCCTCCCCAGATATAAAACTGATCTTCAACTTCCCAGCCCCCAAAAGCTGTAAGAAATAAATTTGTTGTTTATAAGCCAGTTAATCTATGGAACTCTGTTATAGGAGTCTGAAAGAATGAAGACATTTACACACTTCATTTTTATGAATGATACCTGTTTTAGGCATTCATTTATCCCCAAAATAACTAAGTTTATAGGCTTGTGGTGTCTCTCCAATTTTACATTCTCTCTTACTAATCCACACTGTCCCATCTTTACCATCACTGGAACTCTCTGGGTCTGAAGTGCAAGAAAATTATTTTTCCCACCCCAAACCAAATCATTTGACTCTCTCTTTCCATAATCTGCAGCATAAAGTAATTGAAAATGTAAATTTAATCATGGACCCTCCCTACTTCAGTAGCTCTCCATATTATAATAAATCCCTAAATTCCCTAGAATGGCCTACAAGGCATTTCATAATTTGGGCTTTTTCTTTTTAAATTCACTATAATCTTATTTTGTCCTCTTTTTGGACCCAAAGAGTCACTTTTGCCAAAACCACTTGTGGAACTTTTTTGTCTTTACCTCTAAATGGAATCTGGGAAATGGTTGGTTGTTTTAATGGAGAAGGGCAGCAATTCTATTCTAACTCCTATCCTCTGGAAAGAATACTATTCATTTAGCTTATAAAAAGAAACAGGTCAAGTAGGAAGAGGAGACACATGAGAGGATGACTGAATGAAAAGTCACAATCAGTCATAGCCTATCAATCCTCTAGGTAGGTCTAAAGGCACATTTCTTAACCAATTTCCTCTTCTGTGAATTGGAGGTTAACAAAGCGCCCACAAACAGGATCGCTGTAAAGATTTAATAAGTTAACAGACATAAAACACCCAAACTACTTAAAATATACAGTATGGCCACCCGTAAGCAATGGATAAACCTTAGCTATATTATTATTACAGTCACGTTTACTTATTTCTGAAAAGCTAATGAAAATTACAGATCCCTGAACATATAACTCTGATCTAAACTTCAGGTGTAAGTAGAGAAAAAAAGAAAGCTGCTGAAGGTCCTAAATAAAATTAAGATCCAACAGTCCAGAAATGAAAAAGATGTGGCCCAATTAGGTAGAAAGTTCAAAAACAAAAACATGAGGATGTGGTTACAGAATGAGGAACAAATAACAGGAAAAGCAACATTCATAAGACAATGAACACAGGGGACAATTTTATTAAATTTTGCAAATTCAATATATATTTGTAGTTCACCTGTTGCTAACAGTAACTTTGATTAACAAAAACTTAAAGAGTTCTATTAACTTCAAAGTCAGTACGGATTTCAATAGACTTGCAGTGATAAAACAAACGTCAGGTACTAGAGGGTGAAAGGCAGTATGTGTCTGTTAACCTAACCAGGGCTGACTTCTCCAATTTCTCCGAGCTCCTGGAGTCCCCAACTATAAAGGGACGGTTGACTGTCTGATCTCTGTGGCCACTGGCCCATCTTTCCCTTCTGCTAGGAAAGCCCTATCATTCACAACGTCTTTGGAACGTGAAAAACAAGACTGGAAAGGAAGATAGATTATTGAGGAAAGCAAAAGAATTCTAAGTTCCTACAGAACAAGGCAAGTGCAGTGCCTGCCTCTGTGTTATATACTAAATTGGCCGGGGTGGTGGATGGGGTTGGGGGTGGGAGGATGGGGAAGTTCAAGAAAAGGAATTAACAGCATGGGATAAAGAGAAGGGAAAGAAAAGAGGTTACTAGGTGAGAGGGAGGGAGGTTAGGAGAATTCGAGGACTGGAGACGACGTGGGTGCCGGCAAGGGCAGGAAGGAATAAGGCTGCAGAGAGGGCAGGAGGTTGGAGACGGGTCAGAAGGAGAGAAAGGACCTTGTGAGAACCCGAAACGTTGGCGGGGGGTGAATGCAGAACGAGACCCAGGGCGTCCCCTGCTTACCTTGCTACGCCCCCCAGAGGCGACGCGCTGCTGCGAGCTGGGGGCCGGGAAAGACTGAGAAGGGACGTTCAGCATCTTGGACCCCTGGCCCGGGCCCTGCCGGGATCGCTGGCGGTCTGGATAACAGAGTTCGGGTAACACCTCCTGCTCCGGCTCTGAGGCCGGGCAGAGGCCAAGCCCCCGACCCACTTCCGGGGTCGCCCGGGGTGAGGCGCGCCATGACGCAATACGTAGAGGCCATAAAGGGTGGAGCCAATGGGAAGGACGGAGAGGCGGCAGGGGTGGAACTAGCAGAAAGTACGCATGCTCCGTTAGTCCTGCACCCTGAACTTCAGCACCGACAGGAGGTGACAGCTATTGGGTGAAAAGTATTAGAGTGAAGCTGTTCCTTAGCCTTGGTGCTGACCGAATCTGAGAATAAATTCTGTAAAGCACTGTAAATACAGAACACAAGTGTCTGTCCATTAAACGCTATCATCACGTTGCCTGAAATATTAATATTAAATCATATTGACGTCTCTGAAACTCTGCTCTAAGGCACAAGGCTGTGCCAAAAAGAGAACCTTTAAGAACTAAGTTGTCAAAAGCAAACATGTTACTCCTGTGGCGTGAAGAGAAAACTTAGCTTTCAAGAACCCACGCTAAATACCAACGAGTGAGTCGAAGACGCTCGTAAAGTCTTCTTTTTCTCCACTCATCCACTCACACGTTCCTCCTCATCTAATTTTCTGTCTTCCCTGATACTAGGAACTATGTATTGACACAGTTCACTACCAAATGAAATGCTAAACAGCTACCTGTATGACTCATCTCTGAACTTAAAGGCTAAGTCGTATGCAAGTTACTTGAATATCGTAAAGCTTCACTTTCCCCATATGCATAATTTTAGGTTTTATTTAGTAAGGATGAAATTAGATGCCATGTGTAACTATGTAGTACAATGTCTGATTAATAGTAAACACTCAATAAAGGGCAGTGACTTTTTACATTATTCCATTATAATAACGAAAGCACCAGCACTGTATAGGTAAATACCAGTCCCTAATGCTTGAATCCCCACCAGTCCCTAATGCTTGGTGAACTGGTGAATTCTTTGCAAGTCCTTTTAGGAACAGACACATCCGAGAGTAGAATCCAGTCAAGCAAGGAAGGCTTTAAGAAAAGGAAATAACTCTCAAAATCCTCCTTCCATTACTAACTTTTCCCAACTCTGAAACATGGTTTGAACTTGCTCTATTTCAATTACCAATGAAATTGAATGTAAATGTCTCTAAAATGCCGGTAAATCAATGTTTATAGTATCTTTTCAACTAGAAGGGAAAATATGTGAATGTATGCAGCCAATCAAGGGTAATTTCTTAGTTAGGTAACTATCACTGACCTTCACTCCTGTCCATTAGCATTCTGGAATAATACAGAAACATTTTTACTGACAATTGAAATGCTTATTGTGAAAAGAGTGTATTTGAGCTAAAAGGACTTCATGGTTATGATTTACTATGTCACATTTACTTTGCAAAGTACTCCTATTTCTAATTTCTTAATTGATGGCACATTCCTTTATAAGTCTATGTCAGAAAGGCAAATCACTGAAAATTTCTTATTTCATTTCCCATAAGAAAATTTGTACATGGGAACATCAGAAGCAGAGAACCAGCACAAAGGAGGGCAATGTATTAGAAAATGTTTCCTATCTCTTAAGTGTCTTAGCTTCCCCTTAGAGAGAAATGGAAAATACTATCAAATTCTGGTCTTCTGACTCTGCATTTTTGAACTCCATGTAAGTGTAACCCATATAAACATTTTGTTTTAGTTCTCATTGCGTTAGTTCCATAAGTATTAAACACAAATTTTTTTTAACCAGATTTAAGGACATTACATAAGTGTTAAGTGAAATTACCTGATTCATCACTAATTAGATATTCCTAAAATTTAGCTCCCCTGAGGTTGATTCCCACTCTCAATTAGAAAATTATTTAAAGTGTTTTTCACCATCTGCTGGTAAATACGTAATAATAATATGTGATTGGTAAGACAATTTTGTTCATTATCTGATATTATTCACTGGTAATTACAACATCCAATGTGCATGTTACCAAACTCAGACTTGAAAAGTAAGTGTTGACATTCTTTGCAAAGTTATAACTAAATATTTGTAAAATTATAGCTAAATATAAATTTTTATTTACTGAAGAGGCCAAAATTATCTTTTGTAAACCCAAACATATAAATAGAACCTATTTTTAAATTCTAACAATGAATTATATTGTAGGGATAAAAAAGGCCAAAATACCATAGTAATTACAAAATATTTCATTTTATTAACAATTTATATACAAATAAGTTATTCTGAGAGGATTATGATACATTTATACACTAAGTTTATATCCTACAAGGCTTGAATATCATCAAAAGTAAATAGTCAGATTAATTTTCACAGATCAGCTCCTCAATTTCATCTTCACTATCAGAATCTTCATAAAAAGAAATTGTGGCTTGAACTGGAAAATTTTTCAGAAGAGCTTCTGCTTCTTGATATAAGTAATCATAACACTTTGATTTGGGCCAAAATAGTCTGAAAGAAGCAGACAACAAAATGTGCTTTATTTTTTTCAAACTTGAAATCTTTATACTTAAGAAATGTTCAAATTTCAAGAGCTTCATATATTTAATAATTGATTTATTGTGTATTTAAATACAGCCTTAAGATAGAGCACTTAAAAATGCTACTATCAGGCCTCCTTGGTGGTGCAAGGGGTTAAGTCTCAGCACTCTGAAGCTATCAGAAGCCACTGCAGCACAAGTTCAATCCCTGGCCAGGGAGCTAATCCACATGGTGCAGTAGACCGCTTCTGTTTTGCCCACTGCTCCCCTCACAGTATGTTTCAATCAATCCACCTGTTCTGTTCCCCACTCTGTCTCTAGTGAATCCTCTCGCCTTCCCCACACACACACCTCTGGCCTGTACCCCAATTCTTGTATACATAAATAAATCTTTAAAAAATGCTACCATCATAGCTTTCCACTTGCCTTCCCCCCACACACACCTCTGGCCTGTACCCCAGTTCTTATATACATAAATAAATCTTTAAAAAATGCTACCATCACAGCTACCATCACTGCTTAGCAAAGAATCAATAATTGGTTGATTACTTTTAAATGTCTACCCAAATCATAAGTTGAATCAAACAAATTCACACTAAACCTTGCATGGCATAAGACTAATATTTAGCTCACTTCAGGTATAATGCGTATAGTTAATCTTACGAAGCACAAAAGGTTTATCTTCCAATTTCCAAATTCCTTCAGGGTAATAACAAATACTACCACTGAATTAAAATTCTGATGATAGCCAACTTTTAATGATGACAAAATATTATGCATTACCCAAAGGCAGAAATCAGAGATCTTGTTTGAAACTCATAGATTGAACTCAGTTACAGATATAATAACCAATGCAAGTTTAGGAAAGTACAAAAAGCAGTTTTAAAAAAGTTTGTATATGCACTCCCAATTTGAGATGTTGAAGGGCTACCTCTAACCCCAATGTTGATTACATATCCTTCCCCATCCAACTTAATTTGGGAACACCATTTTGAGATTTTTGAGAATGACACCAGTTTTACACAATTAATAGTGTGTAAACATGATTACCTCAAAATTTCAAATGTCTGGCAAATAGTAATCTTGCCATCAATTTTTCTATATTTTTCATCAGAAGGGAAAAAAGAGGAGGGATGTAGCTGAATAATAAACTACAGAGCAGTCATTTTAATGTGGAATAAATAGCCCCATGTATGTAAACCCCTCTTTGGTTCTAACAAAGAGAAGGTTACATTATGTCTAATGTGCTCTATTTTAGAAAAATAGCAATGTAGTTTATAAATGTTTCTAACAAAATGACAGGAAAATTTTTATAATTTTATGCCTAAGTAAGTAACCATCAATAATTTAATCATTCCATAAACATTTTAGTAATCTGTTGTGCCAGACATAATGATTCAAAGATGAATAAATCATCGTCCGTACTCTCAAGAATTTAACAGTGAAAAGAATCAGAAACATATAATACTACTCCAGCTAGAAATAAATATGAATATAGTAAGTAAGAATACTAAAGTAGTTTAGTAAGGTTAAAAACTAAGCCCCTACTCCTGACCCAGCAGGCAGGTTGAGAGGCTGGAATAGATAAGGGAGTAGACAGGCTTCGTTGGGGAAAAGGCCATAAAACTGACCAAAATGACCAGGAAAGCCAGCCCAGCTCCAGGAATGCAGAAGCAGAGTCCAGAACATGCTTCTGCGTCAAAGGCCAGCACTGGAGACCAGACATCCCAGCAGATAACTGGTGCAAAATGGCACCCCAAGTTACAAAGGCCGCGTAAACAGAGTATAAAAGAGAGCCTCAAATCCTCCTTAGGGCACAGATTTGTCGCATCTCACCTGCTGCTTCCCTCCCAGTGTAGTATTTCAACAAATCTCCAATCTGTCTCTGGCGAATTCTTTCACCCCAGCACCTCGGGCCCAATCTTCTCCCCACAACAGTTCAGAAGAGGAAGGAATTGCTTATATAGGAAATAATGTGTCACTGGAACTGCATATGCCAAAGAATCTTGTTTGTTATCACACAGTCTCAACAGAATTTTTCACTGATCATTTTTCTCCCAAGGGACACCACAGTTTCCTGTACTTCCCCCTATTCCGAGTGATTTTTCTCAGTCACCTTCACGGGCCACTGTTTCTCTCTATATAGGTTAGATGTTGGCCTTCCCCTAGGGGTTTTACACTAGTAATCATCTCTCTTCTCTCATTTCCTACAATAGATAACATGACTTAATGCCATAATTTCCCCAACTATTCCTTTACCAAAGGTTTCCACATCTGTATTTCCATTAAGATCTTAATGCTGGGTGGCTGATCAATCTCTCTAAAGGATGTCGCTATCTGGATGGCCCTAAGCAAAGTGAATACCATAAATGGGAAACTACTTATTATCTTGCTTCCCAAATCTCACTTAAGCTTCAATATCCTTTCTGTTAGGATACTAATCAGTCCCAAACTTGGGAGCTAATCTGTCTTTTTATCTCTTCTTCACCTACCTTATACAAAGTATTATTAAACCTAATCTATTTCTTCACCTAAATACTCCCCAAATTCACTCAGTCCCATCCCCACTCCCAGTGCCTTAGAATTGGTATTTATCATTCTAGCCTGAACAACTGCAATAAATTCCAATTTCACTTTTGGTGTTCTAACTAAGCTTATATATTATTTCCTTAGTAATTCTTCTGAATCACAAACCTAATCACACTACTCTTCTCATTAAAATCTTTTGAGTAATCTCCCAATACCATTTACAGAATAACAACCATGGGTTCAGAACAACACATACAGGATCAGGACAAAACTGAACCAAAGTGTACAAGATCTGGCCTTTGGCTTCCTGCTGGAATAATCACAGCTTCCGGCACCCAAATTCCAGCTCCTCAATGCTCCCAGATTGAGCTGTGATATCTCCTTGTATCTCTCTTCTTGGGCTATTTCTTCTGTCCCTGCCTTACTTGCTAACTTCAATATTTGCTAAGCAACCACAACCTATAATATATACACATTCTTGAGCCCCACTGCCTCCAGCAGAGTTAACACTTCACCACCTCTACCTGCTTGTACAACTGACCAACCTGAACTCTATTGCCACTTGCCACTAGACCATTATTATTGTTTTCTGTATCCTTCAGTAGTGCTAGCACATGATAGGAAATGAATTAACATGTATTGACAATTACAGGCTATTTATAAACCTATATATGTTTTACAAACATCATAGGGCTTTTCATTTATCAGCTCCCTGAAGCAAAGGTCAGAATTAAACTTTCACTTGAATAAAAGCTACAGATTCTAATAGAAAGGCTGACTTTCTGTAAGCTAGCTCCTCACTATTATATCAATTAATTTTTGGTCACTTTTATGATCCTAAGTAATCTTTACGGCTTTCACTACATTTCTATTTTCTCGTACAAGCCTAGCTTGATTCGCTGTAAAACTGCAAGAGAATAATATTGAAAGAGATTGCTGTACTCACACTGGCTAACGCGAGGTCAATTTCACTCAGCCTCTTTAGCATTCAAAATAAAATATTTTGCAGGCACAACATGTCTACACCATTCCCTTTCCCTCTTTATAATGCATTTTTTAAGCGTTTACTGAGTGTGCGCTGATTAACAATTCTCCGTGAGAGTATGAGCACCTACATTTTTCCATTCGATGAGTGGAGAAACTGTAGGGCTGGAAAGATAAAGCAAAACCTTGAAGATAGATTTTCCAACAGAAAAACTGCAGCACTAGCTGCTGAGCTGAGCTCTGCGTTGCCCCAGGTCCTCCCCTGAGTATGGAAGTTCAGGAGATCTTGGGTGAGGCCTGCCACTCACCTAACCGGGTGTCTGTAATTGGAAAGCTTTCCTAAAGCTGCAGTCGTTCCGGAGCCATCAGACACCTGGGAATGAAAGGAGATGAAGCGCGGCTATCACTCACCTTCTTGCAGAAACAGGAAACGCGCGCAACCAAATGTTCCTCGCGCCCCCAGGGAATGTGACCCCCGGGCTCCGAGCACCCTGGCCCTCGACCCAGTCCGTGTGTCTCAGTTGCTCTGAAGGACACCCTCGCCGCACCAGCACCAGCAGGGGCACCGGCAGGCGCGATCTTAAGCGGGCCGGCCGTGTGTACCCCGCGCCATACCTAACGGACCGTCTACGTCCCTCGGAGGCGCGGCCAGGCGTGCGCTGCTCACTTACCGCCTCCGCGGCGAGGTGCGGCTCCTCCTCCTCCCTCTCGCCCGGGGCGTGAACCCAAGGTCTCCAGAAGCCTGCGGATCTGCGGGGTGGGAAGCACAAGACGCGCAGAGGAGACGTGAGCCCAGAGGCGGGAGACCCTATCGCAGCCGCAGCAGAGCGCGGGCCGGGCGGGTGTGCAGGGCGCAGGGCGCAGGGGAGAGGAAGGGGGAGGCTGTGGCGTGAGTAATGGGGAGGCGTCGGGTGGTGCCCACGCGGTATACCCGGAGTCCGCGCCCCGGCGCCGCGTCGGGCTGTCAGGGGCAGGAGGCTGCAGGCGGCGGCAGCGCGCGCATTCGCCAGCTTCACTCTCTACACGATCGGAGATCTCCATGGCGCGCCCGGCTCCGCGGAGGCCGGCTGCCAGCTCGCGGTCAAGCCTGACCCCTTCCGCCCGCTGGGCCTCAGACCCTAGCCTTATATAACCCTGCGGCCTGCTGCATATTTAGGGTTCGCTTCCTCTCCGCCCCTCTCTCCCTGGCTAGCCACATAAACAAAAAGGCTGCGCGTGAAGGAGCAACGGGCTGAACCCTGGGTGTGAACGCGTGCAACCCCCAAATGGCCCGAGAAGAGGTTTTGCCGAGCAAGTGTTAATCGCTCTTAGACACTTGGCTGCGGGAAGCGGGGTGGGGTGGGGGGAAAGGTGGATGCACAACATTCGCTGGAGAAGGCAATTTCCTAGTGAAGAAGCTAGGAGGGGATAAAATTAAGCCACCCGACACGTTTTGTGTATTTCTGCAAAAAGGCCAAGTGGCTGATAATTGACCTGAATCTCACGGCTTATTTTTTGAGGGGGGTTGGGGTGGGAGAGGGGGGGTGTCTAGGGCAAATGCAACTGCTTATGTATCCTTTATTCTAAAAAATGAGATGCCAACCAAATTTAAAATAATGGCCTTAATTCTTTGGCCTGGCAGAGTGAAGGATGGATGGATGAATAAATGGACGCTTTACAAATGGAATACTGTCCTTTTTCTAATGTGTTGACAGAGTAGGTTCATATAGCTCTCTATTATTATTTGAAGATAATAAAAAATTCACAAGAAGTAAATTGTAAAAGACTGAATGTTTCAGCCAAGAGCCACGGACTGGACTCAAGGGATTTGAGCATATATCTGTATATTAACTTCTCAGATCTTTGTGATTTTTCACATCTTATCCGTGTTCTCCAAGATCGTGAGTTTCATCTATATAGTTCTCTCATTACTTCGTACATACAGTTCCATCACTACCCAATAATAATTAGAAAATTCTTTTGTTGGGACAGAATGTGTGTCAGATGGTAATGAAATATTGAAAAGTAGTGATATGGGACAAGTCGGTCAACCTTTTCTGTATCTGCGTCTCTTAAGTTACCCATCATTTTCTGCAGAGGTCTATTAAACTTGTAAAATTTGTTATACTTTAAAGGAAAGATGATATGTGAATGTCATAATTTCTTTCAAAATGTTTTAAATAATAAAACTGAACTTCCTCTTAAAAGTTGTAATTAAAGATCTTAAATGTAAGCTTCAGTGTATCTGCTATTCATTCAGTTTCCGCTAGGGAAATCATCTAATTGTGTACCTAAAGACTTACAATGACCCACCTGTCAAGAGGATGAGATAGAATTGCTTCAGATAATGATATCAGTAAGGGTGGGTACCTAATGCATGTCTCAGTACCTTAGAATTATTGTTGGTCTAAATAAAATTAAAATTTGGAATTTTTGCTAGGGTGCCTGACATATAGTAAACTCTCAAGAAATTTTAAGCTTTGTAAACGTAAACCCTAAACAGATGTTAAGCTATCTGATGAAATGGGAAGCCTTAATTCAGTAATGAAAGCACATTTTAAGCAGAGAAATGATAAAAGGGAGAGAATTGATAAGTCTATTTGGGCAAAAAGGAAAGTCATTTTAGAGTACATGAAACCCAATTTGGATTTCCAGAAGGCTCAATCAAGAATTACTGTGGAGGGGCCTCCCTGGTGGCGCAGCGGTTGAGCGTTGGGTTGCGAAGCTGCCCGCAGCCTCTGCGGTGCCGGTTCGATCCCCGGCTGCTCCCTGGCCACAGGAGGAGGATCCCACATGGCGCGCAGACCTCTCCTGCCGCCCGCTGCTCCCCTCAGCAGTGTACTTAGGTCCTTCTGCCTGCTCTGCTCCCCGCTCTGGCTCTGGTGAGTTCTCTCACTCTCCCGCGCTTCTGACTGTACCCAGTGCATGTATAAACAAAACAAACAAATAAATAAATAAATAAAACATGACTCTATAAAAAAAAAAAAAAAAGGAATTACTGTGGAGGCCTCCCCGGTGGTGCAAGGGGTTAAAACACAGCACTATGAAGCTATCCACAGCCACTGCAGCATGAGTTCGATCCCCAGCCAGAGAGCTACCCACATGGCGCAGCAGACCTCTCCTGTCTCACCCACTGCTCCTCTCAGCAGTGTGTTTCAGTGGATTTGCCAGTTCTGCTCCCCACTCTGTCTCTGGTGAATCCTCTCATACACACACACACACACACACACACACACACACACCCCACTTGCATCTCTGGCCTGTACCCCAGATCTTGTATACATAAATAAATAAATCTTAAAAAAAAAGAATTACTGTGTGTGCAGTATAGAAGTGGAAAGAGAAGTGACAGGGCTTCTAAGGGTAGGATATTCCTAGAGCAGAGAGGTAGCTGAGGAAATAGAAAGGGCTTGGACCCTTAGGAGCCTCTCTAGTCCTGATAAGATATGTTAGTTTTAGTCTGTAAGCACTGGTGAAAGATTTTTAAGAAGCAGAGTGGAATGGTCAAGCTTTGCATTTTATAAAACAGCCATATGGGAGATGGATTTAGGGAATGCTGAGACTGGAAAGAAGGATATAACTTTCAAAGTCTCTGTAATAGTTCAGGCAAGAGATAATGAGATGCATACTAAGGATAGAAATGAAAGAATATATTTGAGGAGAACTTAGGGAATAGAATCTTCAGAACTACCTGAATCATAAAATGTGGACAGGCATGAAAGTGATGTCCATATATGCTCCCAGGTTTCTTACCTAGTTATAACGGTGGGTAGATTGTGGGCTCAAACAAGGACAAAGAAAGCAGGAGATATAGGGGGAAGAACAGGTGAGATGTTGCTATGTTGTTTTATTTTGTTAATATTGCACATGGAAGGGGCATAATGAAATAATTTGGTTTTGGACCTTGAATCAGTCAAATTGAATGAGCTATATGACAATCACATATAACGCCAAAGTCTCATAGGCTTAAAACAACAAAGGTTCACTTCTCATGTAGCTATCTGTCCATTTCTGTTTGATGGGAGACCTGCTGCATATCATCTTCACTTACAAATTAAGCTGATGGAATTTCTTTCCTCTGAAGATTGCCAATTATAACAGGGAGAAGGGAATAAAACCAATAAATTTTAGAAGGCTTAGTAACACATAGGTAGAGAAGATGTCCAGAGGACTACCAGAGATGTGAGATCTGGGTAACAGCAGTTCATGGCTAAAGATTTAAATGTGGGAATCATAAGAAAAGGGATGTAAAGGAGTTGATTAGTTTTCCCAGAGAAATTTTGTTGCTTGAGAACAGGACCCAGGAAGCAAGAAAAAAGCTGTGGAATGAAACACTCACTAAAAAGGAATCATGAAATAGCAGGAGATCTGGTACTCAGCACCTGTATGTAGATCAGGTGTGTTGGAAATATGGAATGAAAGAATTCCAACAAGAATACAAGACATTTTAGGGCCTCCCTGGTGGCACAAGGGGTTAAGACGCAACCTATGTAGCTATCCGTAGCCACTACAGCTTAAGCAACCCACATGGCACAGCAGACCTTTCCTGATTCACCTGCTGCTCCCCTCAGCAGTGTACTTCAGTCAATCTTTCTGTTCTGTTCCCCACTCTGTCTCTGGTGAGTCCTCTCACCCCTCATACCTCTGGCCTGTACCACAGCTCTTGTATACATAGATAAATAAATCTTAAAAAAAAAAAAAAGAATCCAAGGCATTTAGTTCCACCAAAGCAAAGGGTCAAGTAAGAGCATATATTAATTGAATTTGGCAGTTATGGAGTAAAAGTGATTTTAAAATAAGATCCTCAGGATAGGATGATGGAGACTTTTTCACAGTATGTTGAGATATAAAGATGAACAAATGAAAACATTGAGTTGTGGTTATCAATTTGGGAGGAAAGAGAGATGGAGAATGCTGGGTCAGTAGAGAGTTTTTAGAGTGCAAGAGATGGGAGAATGTCTGTAAGATGGAGAGAAGAGGCCTCCAGAGAGAGGGCACTGGATCATGGTTGGTGGTCTCAAAGAGGAAGGAAGAAATGGGAACCATAGAAATGGGGAGGATTCTCATGAGGTCGGAGAATGTGCATCAGTGATGACAGTAGTCCAGGCCTGGGAAAACAACAGAAAAAAAGTTTAATCTAGGTGACCAGACCTAGTGTGGCGAAGGTGGTGTGTAGTATAATGATGATGACAAGACACAAATCCAAAAAACATCAATTGTCCTAAAAATGTGAAAAGAGTAATGTAATACTCTAATGAAAAATAGAGATCTAATTAATAAAATTGCAGCAGACTTATATGTAATCAAATTTAGGTAAAATGAGAAATAAAATATGAAATATTAGAGCTAGAAGATCCAAAATCTTCCATTTATACATTTATTCCATTTGTGCAATATATTTATACAGATGTTGAAGCTGACTACCAGTGTGACCAAGGCCAATATAACTTATTCATGTTACAGTTTAAATTTATTTTAGAATTCTCTGTGAGTCTTACCAGTACATTTAAAACATGTGCTTTTTAAAAACTGAGATATTGGGTCTCCCTGGTGGTGCAAGGGGTTAAGCAATGCACTGTGAAGCAATCCGCAGCCACTGCAGCACAAGCTCAATCCTGAGCTGGCCAGGGAGAAACCCACATTGCACAGCAGACCTCTCCTGTCTGGCCCACTGCTCCCCTCAGCAGTGTATTTCAATCAGTCTGCCTGTTCTGTTCCCCACTCTGTCTCTGGTGAATCCTCTCACCCCCAGCACCTCTGGCCTGTACCCCAGCTCTTGTATGCATAAATAAATAAATAAATCTTTTTAAAATAACCCTGAGATATCGACATTTAACATCAGTTTCAGATGTATCATGACTCAGTATATGTATATATTGCAAAATGATCATCACAATACAATAAGTCTAACAGACCCTTATCACAATTAAATTTTTTTTCTTGTGATGAAAACTTTTAAGACCTACTCTCTTTGAACTTTTAAATGTAAAATATAGTATTATTGACTCTAGTCACCAGGCTATACATTATATCCTCAGGACTTATTTATTTTAATTGCATTA